AGAGCAGCTTGCTATGACAGAACATTAGTTGTACTAACAAACGTGCTAGGAATGAACTGATCTTGTGCAAACAGAGAAATAGAGTGCAGTAAAATTGTTTTGTGGATATGATTAGCAAGTTTGCAGCCTTTCCCCCTTCTTAGCTGATGTACGTATGCTAGGCCTTTACAAAAAAGCTGAAATGTAATGTCACCTTCCCTAGCAAGGCATCTAGCTGGCAGCAATGGAAGGGTTAAGCTAACACTCGGTGCCATTTTTAGCAGTAATGGTGCATAGAAACACACTAGAAAACGGCCTCCCAACTCTAGATGGCTGGGGTTTGATAACCTGACTCCTTCCCCACCCTGCCACCACAGTCAGGTGGTGATGGCTATTACTGATGCTCTGTAGAAAGGAATGTGAAAGGTAGATATTGCTTTGAAAGATGGGCCTTGCCCTTAACATGGTAACAGTACACACAGGTAGCTACCATTCCCTCACAATTTATTTCAGATGCAGTTTTTCCACCTCCAAACGTCATGCTGATTAGTTTCCATTGTCTTTGATTTCTTTGGCAACAAGATGAAAAGAAGTGGTATCAGTGCATCATATGATTTATCCCTGCTCTTTTATGGTCAGTGTTACTTGAAGCTTAAAGGAGGACTACAGGATAGAGCTTTCAATCCTGCTTTAAAAATAAAACAAAACCAGTTGCCCAGGGAAAGAGCAAGAATACTGCAAATTATTCCACAGCAAAATCTAGCTGAATAGTCTCACTGTACTAAGAGGGTGGCCGATGGCTGTGTCACCTTCATGCTGTTTGATCTAGGCAGATCAGGAAGATGTTAGTATATAACTGCAGTAAGCTACTTACTGCTGATCCAACAACTAACCTCATAAGAAAACTATATTTCCCACCGTAATGCCTTAGCTGTGGAGATGCTATTGGAGATAGTGGCTTTGTTCTGCCTTGGGGCAAGCTCTAAAAGTACCTATGAAGTGGTCTCCGTTGGCTGAGCAGTGCCACTGGAGGGCACAATGTCAACTATTGCCAAGTGGCTGCCACAACAGAAAGTCATCCCTTCACATGGTCCCTGTGTGGTGACCAGGGTTAAATGCTGGTTGCCTTTGCTAAGGAAAGCCTATTCAAAGACTGGGTCCAATTACCATCGCATTCTGGGTGATTGGTTAAGCAAAATTCTATATAGAATTTATTTCTGGATCATTGCTGACATATCATTTAACGATTTTTGAGTGATCACTAACACCACAATTTGTGATCCATGCTCACAGTCAATAATATTAATGCTCAAAGTGAAGAAGCCTATGGTTTCCAGCCATTTGTGTACTTTGGGTCATTTCACCATAAGGCCTCTTTTTGTATAGTGTTGGAAAGAAATATTAAAATAGCTACCGGGGAACAGAGTGTCCAACTGCCTAGGAATACATTGTTTGTACAAGACTGATCACTATTTGATTTACTCTAACTCTTCCTGTTGTGATCCAAATTTCTAAAGCAAATGTATTTGCAAATGTTCTGAGGCTTGTATTATTTATAGGGAAGAAATATTATCATCTCTCTGAAGTGAAGGGGTGAGACACAGCAGATCTGGATTCTATTCAAGCTGTGCTCCATGCCTGTTGCCTGACCTTGGCTAAGTCACATAACTGCTTTATGCCTCAGTTTCCCCAGCTGTAAAATTGGGATAGTCCATCCCTCATGGGGATTTTGTGAGGTTTAATATTTGTAAAACATTTGGATGATTTGTAAGATCCTTGGATGAAAGTTTCTATATATGTAGAAATTATGTAGGGCACAATACATAGGTCACCAAAGGATAACCTTATATCACCTCTAACCACCATGAACTGTTTCAGCCATGTCCCTGCATTTTCTGGCCCTTATGTGATGTAATTTGTTAGACAAAAGTAGTAAAATATGAAAGGCTTAAAAACAATTCCTGGTTAACTGTGGCACCTGTTCTACCCTGATCAAGGGATGTCTCTTTTTTGCCTTTCATTGAACTCTTTCCCTGTTTGTAACCACTGTCCAGTGAGATCAGCAGTGCACCAACTGCTGGAATACTGTGTTCAGCTTCAATGTCCTCGCTTTTAAGAATGTGGTAAAGAGTTGGAAAGGCTTTAGGAATGCACGACAAGAATGATTTGATGTCTGGAAAGCATGCTACAAATTGAGCAATACTTACATTAATGAAGGAAAGGGCCAGAGGTGAATTGATCATAGGCTATAATTCCCTGCACAGGAAGAAAATAACAGACACTACAAGGTTTGTTAATCTATTACATCCAAAAAAAATTACATTAAAATAATGTTGAAGTTGCAGTCAAGCACTCAAATGTTAGGAAATGCCAGATTAAGGTTGCCTCTTCAACCTTAATTCAGCCCCCTTCTGTGCAGGTGTGACCCAGGGATATCTTTGTGCTAACTGGCAGAGGGCACAGGGGTGCATAAGAGCTATACAGATCCCCTGGGTCTGATAGCTACATGTTGATTCCTCAGGGTGCCATGCAAAGTGTCTTCTGAGAGCCTGTGTCATACTGCTCCTCATAATCATAGTGAAATGTATGGATGGATAGTATGTAAGGAGTTATGTATATATGCTGAAAGTTATGTTCTCAAGATCTGTGACTGAGGGTGATCACCGAAGGGTGGGAAACCGGTTTCTTTCAGGCATGAGATGTTTAATCTAGCTGTCTGATATGGTGACCAGACAGCAAATGTGAAAAATCAGGACGGGGTGGGGGTAATAGGAGCCTATATAAGAAACAGACCCCAAAATTGGGACTGTCCCTATAAAATCAGGACATCTGGTCACCCTACTGTCTGACTACAAGTATACTGAGTATTGTGGTGTTCACACTGGATACTCATTTGCAGTCTGAACCGAATGCTAATGAAGGGACTGTGAGATCTTCCAGAGAGGGAACTTATAGGCAGAAATAAAGCAGCAGGAGGGAGTTCTGCTTACAGGTGAAGACAGTGGATTTTTGGAGAATCCAAGTTACATTCAACATCATTTAGTGAGGGGACAAGCAGAAAGCATGGCTTATTGGGTCAGCCTACCTGGCTGAAAAATGCTGGTGAGCAGTACTAAGTTCTAGAATGTGTGATGGGGACTGCTAAGCCCTCTGTCTCACCAAGCTCCTGTATCCCTTGCACACTATGGTGCTGTTGCCAAGCTACAAACCTCTGGCAGGTGCTGCACTTAGGGACAGTCCACACTGGTAGTGCTTTAACATGCCTTGTGTGGCTCTTAAAAAGCCACCTCAATGAGAGGCATAGCTCCCAGGGCTGGGGCACTGTTTACACTGATGCTTTACAGCGCTGTGACTGGCTGTGCTCAGGGGGGTGTTTTTCACACCCCAAGCAAGAAAATTGCAGCACTATTAATTACCAGTTTAGACAAGCCCCACAGACAGGAATGTACCCAACGGAGTTACATGAATGCTTCTCCCAGATGCTCATGACCCAACAATAGAGATGCTCCAGCCACTTCCCCTCAGTCCCAAGGCCTCCCATCAACCAACTAGAAAACACACAACCAGTGACCATCTGTGAAAAGTTAAGTGACTTGCTTAGCATGACACAGGCAGAGGTAGGGATAAAATCTAGTTCTTCAGGGTGGCATTCAACTGCCTAGACAATCCCCTTTCTGCAATACCCTGTCTCTTTAACTATACGCTTCTACAGCATATGAGGCAATGACCCTACAGCCAAAATTCTGCTTCACCCCCAGCAGACAAACTATCCTGTGCACTACATATCTGGAAGTAAGTGTTGAGCTCACCTCTTCCTTTGGAAACCCCCAGTTAAGTATTACTGAGCTTGTTCCGATTGCTGATATGTGGTTGTATATCCTTGTAAGTATGGGTCCATACACCACATGAGGGGGAGTACACAGAATCTTATACAAATAGGCTACCCTTAGTTGCAGAGGACATGGGTATTGACAGGGATGGTAAACTGTTTCAAATGTAACTACTACTGCCATTCCATCAGCATAAGCTCCCAAGCACTACTTGTTCATTAAACCTATATAAAATTTGATCCTGTGAGGTACAGATGCAAAATACTTAGAGTTTGTGTAACTCTGCCCCAGATTTAAGATGTTCAGTAAGTCACTTGACTGTGGCTCTTGCCTTAGCTAAAGTAGTAAAAGCATAACTTTCTGTTTCATGCTACTAAAGCCTATGCTCACCTGTTATTAAACGCACAGAGCCTCACTTGTGCATGAGGAAATGGTTTGATTGTGGGCTATTTTTACAGCTGACCTATTTTTGTATGGTCTCATTTTCAGCCATAGCTTAGTGATTTTTATCTAGTGTCAAGATGCAATAAGCCCACAATTGTTGTGTTAGGGCTCGTTCTTTACTTTGAGAGGATTTGTTTCCCCCCTTCCAGGTTTATTGTGGATGGCGATTACCAATTGTAGGATGGCATGAGTCAGTTTTGTTTTGTTTTTTTTTTAATATAGTTAAAGGCCCTTGCTCTAGGTGCCACTGATGAGTGATGTGTACATCTAAACACCCAGGCAGAGGCATTGGTGCAGCTTTTCACATTTTTTTTTAAACTGCAAATTTTTATAGATAGTCACTTGATATGATTCCATAGCCTGGTTTTGAATCCAAGCACCTGCAGCTCATGAACTTGGATGCTCACCTGTGAAAACAAGGCTAATACTAACTGATTATGTTCACTAATAGCTAGTTAGTAATTTGATAGAAATAATGTCAGTTCAACTTGCAGCTGCCAGTTTGTGTAGTCCATTTAATTCAATGTGAGTGGTCCAGTGCCCCTGTGTATAATTTGAAGCAAGCCAAAGTTAAGGAAGTGAGTACAAATGTAAGTTTTTTCCAAGTGTTTTTGCTGATGTTAAGTTCCATGCAACTGTCATTAATTGGAGTTGTGCAGGTTAGGTACTTTCAGCACCAAGTTGCTATTCCCATGCTTTCTGGGGAAAAGTGATCAAAGTTTAACAAAATTCACACACATTAGAAAGCCATTTTCCAAATATTTATTGAAGCAGTGAAATTGTTCATACTGTGCTGGAAAAAGCAGTTATTGAATTCAGAAACTTAAACAGTATTGTAGCACAAGATATTGCTATCTGTAAACTAGACTCCATTGTCAAATCTAAACCTTCAGGGAGAGTCAGTTTGCAAGATCTAATACCTATTCTCTAGCATAATAATCTTGCGCTTTTGGAAAAACTGCAGAAAGGCACTTAAGCTGTTTCTTCCTTTAAGACAGGGACTTTAAATTTTGCTGGTAAGAATCTTTTCACTGCACAAGTGAGAAAGGTGCAGTTTCTCTAGGGTTTTCACTCCAGATCATCGTGATGCTGGGAAGTTTCATTGATAACCTGTTGAAGAATAATAAGGCAGCTTACATTAATTCTGAGCAATTTCAATACTCAAGACATCTGACTGTAAAATTAGTTTTCTAGATTTATTCTGGTATATTAACACAGCTAATAAAAACTTCCACTGTGCCATAGTGGAAGTTGATGATAGCCACTCACTTGTGGAAAAGTCAGCTATTGGTCAATTAAATTCCAAATTGAAAAAGAGTGAGCAAAAAAGGCATGGGGGAAATCAGATATACTTTGTTTACAAGCACCTTATTTGCTGGCCATATTGCAGAACTAAGTTGCTTTTAGGAATGATATTTCAGAACCAGCTAACCCATCTCTCTAGGTCTAATATCTAGAAACAGAAGTAGCAGCCTTGGATAGATGTGTCTTTACAGCATGGTTATGAATGTTTTGCTATCCCTGCATAGAGAGGCACCTAGTTTGTTGAAGGTTGCAGTTAGCACATTCTGATCTGTACAAAATATTCAGCCCAAGTGCATGTTACTATACTGAGTTAGCACTACTGTAGCTTGGGTAACATACGTAAAGCATGCACTGTTTGGTAAAAAGTTAACACTGTACATCACAACTAGCTATCCTCATCTAGTACCATTCTGTCTATATTGGTCATTTGTTTTACTTCCTCCTCCACTAAAAGAAACTGATACAGGCACCAACCTCTCCATTTCTGGTTTCAACAGTCTTAATTAAGAGTGTCCTCTTTGAGTGGGTGTCAACCATAGGGTGGGAATCAATGTTGGTTTCTGCAGATGTAAAATTATTAGTCAGTTATGATTCTTCAGTGATCTAGTTTAAGTTACATATTTGCTATTGCACATACGATAGAATGGACAGATTCTTTACAGGAAAGACTGATGTACTTGATAGCTGACAAGTGCCAGGCACCAACACTAAGATCCTAAAATTACTAGATGTTTTGTAATTAGTCATATCTTAAATCTGATCACCCATTGTCAAAGTAAGTTTTCAAACACTGTTTAGGAGGTCTCTATCCAGATCACTTACAGAAACTACTCTAAGGGGCTCCAGTCTGAGATTTTAATGACAAGTAACTGGCTACAATTAACTCTTTAATTCAGATATCTTGCTTTGATGTAGGCAAGAGTTCTGGAACTGGCTAGTGATCCTGGGTGTTGATTTTCAGGGGATCCTTTTGGAACCTCAAAAGGGCCTGATTTTCAGGGAGCATTAAGCTCCTGCATTCAGAAAAACCCTTTTAAATGGTCTTTAGTTGGGCATCCAAGATCACTAGCCACAAAATACTGGTTGTAGAGTTTTGTTATGAAGTTATTACAAGGAATCTCTTCCTGAACTTAAAAGAGTAGTTAAAATACCAACATTTGAACTAGTGGTCTCTGGTGTTAAACAAGCAACATCTGGGTTCTGATATCAAAACCTGAATCAATTACACCAGACTAAAAGGAAACTGTCTTTAGAGTATTAGTTTACCACAGCAAAAGGATACAAGTTGTCAAAGAAGCTTCCTACACTATTCATGAGAAATTACATACTACTTACCCCTCAGGTTCAGGGAAGCAAAAGTTGGAATAGGCATGGTAATTCTGCAAAAGAGAATCCATGTTTAGTGACGCTAGTCTCTGGAATTTAGTAATTCTTTAGCAGCTACTCTTCAGAGTTGCTGGTCATATTTGCATTAGTTTTATCTACCTGCTCTCCTCTCCCTCCAACAGTTTTCTATAGGTAGCAATCTCAATATCAAGAGCCATCTTGACATTCAGCAGTTCTTGGTACTCATGAAGATGGCGAGCCATTTCTTCCTTCATGTTTTGAATTTCTTCCTGCAGACGGGTAATAGTATCTTGGTAGTTAGCAGCTTCAACAGCAAAGTTGTCCTCCAATTCACGCATCTGGCGCTCCAGGGACTCATTCTACAAGAGAAATTTCAAGTCAAGTGTTGGCTGCAGTTTAGTAGCTGTCAGCCTTCACCTATTGGTGGTTTAAACCCATATATTCTATAATAGAAGTTTAATACCCTGACCACTAGTGGAAGGTGCTCAAAAAAGGTTACATGACTAATGTCTGCCATTTGTTAGCTTTCATCCTCTCATGGGGGAATTATGGGAGCAATGTAGTGTTTAACTACAAACCAACAGCAACATTTACATATCAGAAGAGGCAAGGCCACAGTGCCCACCTTGCATCGGAGTGGAAATTGGTGGTATTGTCCCTAGGTTCCTTGTCTCAATACAAGAGCAGCCCCTGAGAAACCTCACCAGCAAGTTTCATGTAGTACAAATCTGGTCAATGGTTTATTTTCAAAGAGACCTAGATTTGTAGCATTGACAGTGTGCCTAGCTACTGAAGTTTCTACATTAAGTAGAGTTTGACAATCTTAAAGATTTGCTTAGTTATACAGGGGGAAAAATGGGTCCATTCTTTAAATCTTGCTTTGTTTCACAGAGGTACCGATATACAAATATTAAAATTAGATCTGAAGCCTTTTGTTTTTCAAAAGGAAATATAACAAGGAGTAAACATGGTGCAAAGTGTAAGATTAGTTAACAGTGGATTAATCTTTCAGTTACTCAGCTTGCGAACATATACACAGCTCAATACTTCAGCTTTAAAAATAAAGGCATCAAACGGGTCACCCCAAGTTCCCATTCCGTAAATAGCCAGCTAGTACACAGCTGAAAGATGCAAGTTAATCAAAAGGGCCCTTTAGCTTCTATTTTAGAAGCACACCATATTTACATTAGTCTGCAATCTTGTTTGATAGGTCACCTCCATTCACATCCATCTTAGTATTTAGTTATATTGTAATGTGACAAGATATCAGCACAAGTAGTAACAGCTGCAGTGGTATGTTTCACTTACAGTTCCTTTAAGTGCATCAACTTCACAGGTGAGGGACTGTATTTGTCTGCGGTACTCATTAGCTTCCTGTTTGGCCTGACGGAGGGCATCATTGTTCCTAGTAGCAGCTTCAGAGAGGTCTGCAAACTGTTGAAAAACGCAGATTTACAGTTGGTATAATACTTTAACAAAAATTTGTCATAAGGTTATCTGGAACACAGGAGTAAGAGGATTGAGGTGATTAAGAAACTGCACATACAAAGATCTTAATACTTGAAACAGAGGCTCTAAACTAGTGCCATGCTGTTACAGCTCTTCATTCTCTAATTTGATGGTTAAAATGAAATACATTTTAGATCAAGAATAATGAACGCTAACTTTAGAATGTATGTATGTTGTGCTATATCTTTACCCATCCATTCCTTCCTCTACCAGCTCATCAGTACACAAGCCACCCCTCAGTGCACGGGATGCTTCTAACTATGCAAAGAATAGGAAAGATGACAAAACAGGAAGTTAAACTATGTAGTATCTAGGTTCTTGACACAGTATTATGGCTCAGGGCCTACTGTAGATGTGACATGCTGTACCTGTTTTCCTGATTTAGGAAAGTTAGATAAAGCCTTGCCTCCTGGATGTAAGTAGTTATGCATTATGGCAAAGCTATCCTGGATATCTAAAAAGTAAAGTTAAGCCAAATATCCTTATAGTCACATAAGAGCCATTCACTTACCTTGGACTTGTACCATTCTTCAGCTTCCTGAAGATTCTTAGCAGCAACACTTTCATACTGCTGACGGACATCACGCAGGGCAGCAGTGAGATCTGGTTTAGCAACGTCTACATCAATTTGGATGTGTTGTTCCTGAATCTGGGCCTGCAGTTCCCGGATTTCCTTAATAAAAGAGTGGACAGTCAAGTATTGTTCTATGATAGAACGTACAGATTAATATTCTAATGCAGATGCATCTTACCTCATCATGAAGCTTCTTCAAGAAGACAATCTCTTCTTGCAAGGACTCAACTTTGCGCTCAAGATCAAGACGTGCCAGAGAGGCATTGTCAACATCCTAATTAAAGGGAAAGATCATTTAGCAAGGTCACTATACTAAGGGGGGAAAATGAATCAGTGTAACAAGCAAGTTTACTGCTAGTTTGATCCAAAGTCAAGCAGCAGAGTGACCTATCTGAAAGTCTGTTGCCAGAAAGAATTGGAAATCTATTTGCAAATTGGGTACTGGCATGCACAGAGTTGCATGTCAACTGTAGGTGTGTGTGTATTTTATACATCAACATCAAATCAAGCAGCACGTTTCAGTCCAACTCAAAAGCATTTGGATTTTTCTGAAGTATTTGTTATGCATTCTTCATCAGAAGATAACGAGAGTCAGGATAACAAAAAGTTAGGGAATTTCTTGCCAAATTCTCTGGCAACACAAATCCTAGCTCAGGCCAAAATTCTATCAGTTCTATCCTTAAGAAAAAAATTGGTATATTTTATCCATCAGAACACCTCCACGCCTTCTACTTAATGTCACTGTATACTGTCCTCATCACATGACTGGGTAGCACTAGTAGTGCTCAGCTGGCACCATGCTTTATCTCAGAAGGGAAGAATTCATTGATGGGTTAATTGTGCATGATCTAAAGAGCTTTTAAGGTCAACTCTTTCTGGGAGAAGGTTGTTATACAAATTAATTATCTACCTTGTGTAGACTGTCAAGGATTCATAGAATTTAAGGGGATTGTTTACATATTCAATCTTAAATTGTATGCCAGATGTGCCATCAGTTAGTATTCCCCCCACCCATTTTAACCAGTGGTACCTGATATGCTTGTAGTTCAAGACTTGCCATAAACTTCAAATTGTCCTAACAGGTGCATTAGCATTGTAAATGCTAAGTTAATGTTAAGTCCCAGCCTACAGTAGAGGGACTAACTTGATAAGCTTTAGTTGGAGGAGTTCCAACTTACCTACATGTGCTTCTATTACATGAGCACAATGCAATATAGTTAAACTTCATTCAATTCATTAAAGTTAGTTTAATCACAACTTGTAATCAAAGTCTTTTCGCCAGTTTGGAAGGTCGTGTTAGAGTGAATTTAAGAAGCCCCATAGTCCTAGCATCAGGGCTAAGTTTTCAAAGTAGTGTGTTGGAGCCAGATATGCAATTAGATCATGCATAGATCTGAATATTTATTAGGACTTTTTTTTTTAATTTAAACATACTCAATGATGGACAGAACAATTTTAGAGGACTGGATATGTCTGTATTTTTAGATGCATCTCTGAATTTAAGCCAAGAGGTCAGTCATGGGCTCATTAGACATATTCCCTAGTACCAGACTAGCTGGGTATACATTGCAGTAACTCATTCATTGTACTGATGCACTACCTAGTTGTGCCCCAAAAGCAAGCAATTCATTGAAGCTTTACCAAATGATGATGGATGAACACAGATGCATCAAATAGCTTTTCATTCTGAAGCAGTTACCTGCTGAACTATGTAATGCAAGTGAACGTATTTGCTTACTTCAAGAACAGCTCTTACCACGTGAGTGTTATTTTCTTGTTCTGATGTGGAATTTTAAGTGCCATAAAAATAGTGTCCTACAGTTCTCTGAAACTATACTTAAAGGTTGAAATAGCATGACACTTCTGTGCTCTGGTAGGAAGATGCAGGCTGTTTTCTCAAGAAGGAAAGTCCAGAGCAAGCTATATATTTAGTTTTGCATGTCAAACTTTTGCAATCCATTTACCAAGGGAAAGATTTGTCATGCCAATGCTTCATTGGTCTTTATTCCTCAAACGCATGCATCTTTAAAGCTTCCTGCAGTTTTCTTATCTTAAAGTGCATAAGTCATTTGTAGTCAGACCCAAGACAGTGGCACTCATACTGAATGTGAGTTAAGTCTTAACAGGTCTTCAGTGAAATTTATGGTTAGTGCCTGTATTTCTGACAAGTATTTAATACTGAATTCTATGCATCAAGTATTACTGACACCTTACATCTTAAAGGTTCAGTACATGTATCCCATTTTCTTTAATATTAATGGTGGTACTGGGTATCTAGTTACAGCAAGGATTGAGATATCAGAGCCAAAAAAAATCACTTCCGAGTGACCTGTTTATTAGAATACAATCATCATTCATACTATTAGCATATGGCAGCTAAGTGTAAGCCAGTCTATGGATTATGCTAAAATGTTTGACACCAAGGAATATGAGCGAGTGCATGCTGGGAGTGCTGCCGCTGCCCCCAGTCTAGACCGTTACATTAGTTTGAAAGAGAACTGTGTCCCTTTAAAAACACAGCTAAGTACAAGACCCTTTGCACGCTTTTAATAAATTAAGCCAGACTTCAACCAGTTTAACTAGATTCCTTGCCGAGTTCAGCTCAGTGGAACTAGATCAAGGTTAAGTGCATTTAAGAGTGTCTATGCAGGACTTTACACCAGTTTAAGTCAATTACATTATTAGGCAAGCCAGCGCAACATGTGTTAAGACAAGCCTGATGTTGTGAAACATACAATATATTCTTTAAATACAGAAGAAATTGAAATTCATTGAGGTGATGCCTGGCATCTTCCACATTTCGGGCAAACAACTCCATTTTTCAATATGCCTTCATTCTTACATAAAGAGATCATGCTATTTGTCTTGAGCAAGGCTTGGGACTGTGTTGCACAATTCAGCTGGATTGGCAAACTTCTGGTTGTCATTTAGACGTACATCCACTAGGGACTCTAGAATACCAGACTAAGCAACTTTGTGACCCAAGACACATCTGAGCCCAGCTGGCTGGAGATAAAAGGAATTCTAGTAATGCCTTTCCACAGTGATAATCTCTTTTGAAAAAAGTCTTGAGAGGCAAGTTCTTTAAAATATCAAAAAGTCCAAACTCAAGTTAAAAGTTTTGGGTTTGTTTCTAATGAATGAAAAGACAGGCTGAGGTTGCAAGAACACCTATAGTTGCTTTTAATATAGTGATCAGTAGATCTCAAAGCACTTTACACTTCCCTCCCCCATCTGTAAAATGGGGAAACAGAGGCACATATGGGTGATGCGAGTTGTCCAACATTACCAGCAGGCTACTAGCAGAGCTGGGATAGAACCCAGGTCTTCCAAGTTGCAGTCCAACACTGTAAAATGCTCTGAAGAGCTCAAAACTTTACATGAACTGAAGCCTAGTTTCTTACTAAAAAGTAAGCTGTCTAGGTAATTTACAACTCACATTAAAGTTTAGATGACTGAATGTTTCTCATTTATTCTTTGAGAATTTCTTTTAAAGAAAAAATCCAGTATACACACCATCTTATGACTTGATTGCTGTTAACTTTTGAGATCATGACCAGGGATCCTAGAAATCTGTTTGCTGTGGAAAAACAATTTGTGTTCTTACAGAGAATATTTAGTTTTTACATATTGTGAAAAGAGTGTGTGAAACTCTGTTTATCAGATCTAATTGTAAACGGGGCCAGATCAGAATCAAAAAATTCTGAAGATCAGGAGAACTGGCAAAGAGCTTTCTACCCCGCATTTTAAGATGGGAGAACTTGGGCAGTGAGACACAGGTGGCTGGTGGTTCAGTTAATACAGAGCTGGATAATGGAGGCTCGGATAAATGGGGTTCTACTGTATAAAAAACAGAAGTATTTGGCATAAGAAATACAAATTGCAATTCTATTAATTTTAATAATGATCAATGGCACTGGTAGGCTTCAAACTTGCTTAAAAATTGTAAGTATCAGTAAAAACCTTGTGTTCAACTAATATAGATATAGTTACTAAAATGAAATGCTGAACTTTAATTCCCTAATCACAGAAAAAATGATTTGTTTTTTTAAAAAAAAATCAGAGAATTTTGTGGATTTATCACAGATAACTAGGATCCCTGGTCAGACCCTCCTCTAAAACCTGAAGGCAGACAGAAAGAGAATTGTCTGACCTATCAGTAGACAACCTTAACAGGAAAATTCTCAGGTGTTAGGGCAGTTCTTATTTTGCAAGAATTTCAGAGCAGCATAGCTAAGTCGGTCAATTCCCATAATGGAGTCCTGTACTAAGAATTTTAAGACTGGGCCATATCTAAAATAACTGATGTTATAAAAACATTTCTCTAAAATACGCTTACATCATTACACATTCAGTAAGAATGCAGCCTGCAGCAAGCCACTCTTCAATACAAAGAGTTCTATTATTTCAATCTGCAGCCACCACGCTTGCCATAATGCCTGTATCTGCATTCCATAGTGAATCCCATAGAAACCATTAATACCCTTCAGCCAAGCGAACAGATGGCTCCCTTTCACCCTTATTGGATCAGAAAGTGATTCCACATTGGAGTGCTTTTGTAGAATAGGCTAGTCTTGGATAAAGCAAAACAATAGCTGTTCCCCTCCCCACTTAAGACTACATCATCACTAAAGAAAACAAGTTACTACATGAGGACTGGTGGATTCTTGTTAAAAAAGAACCCCACAAAAATCTAGAGTCTTATTTCTACACTTATCCATTCTCTGCTTTAAGGTTTCACCTCTGATGTGTTAGACATTGTACCTAGTCATGCAAGACAACATTTCTGTTTCAATTTACTCATTGCAAATACATTCAAAAGTGTCAGATCTGCTATATATTTTTGTAGAATCTCCAGTTAATACTTTAAAACTTAACAGTTTCCAATTTTATCAGTGTCTAGACTCAAGGAATGGCAACGCCCTTGAATAGAGCAACTTCCTGGAGTTACTGAGAGAAGTCTTGCACCTTTAACAGTTGCTTTTTACCACTAGGTGGCTCTACATCTCACTTGTAGATTATGCCAACTTTACACACTGGGCTTTACATTCAGTGTGCTCCTTATTTTAATATGCAGAAATGATTACAAACCTGTCTGAAAGATTGCAGGGTGTTTTCAGCTTCTTCTCGCTGAATCATCTCTTCTTGCAACCTGAAAATAGTAGCATATTGATTAAACAAATAATGAACTTGGGGAAAAAATCAGCACTAGTCTGTTCAAATCCAGCTGGTAGCCACACCCAGTCAGAGGGGGAAAATGGGGCCTCTGACAAAAAGGCATCTCATTCCGACATTTTTCTGGTCTGTGCCCTCTTTATTAAGTTTGCATGACTGGGCTTTGAGACTTTCTGCTGTTACAGCAGTCTGAAATCCACAGATAGCCTAACACAAGCAGTGCCAAAAAATTGTTACTGCTTATTCAGCTAATGAGCAACAAGAGGCTGATCTAGATTTGGGTTGGTTTTAAATAATCTTTTGCTAAATTCAGATTCTGTTAGGTTGCAATATTTAAGAAGTGGATTTGCCAAGCTAAAGTTTTCAAACCCACCAAAAACCTCAAGATAAGATCTACAGTACAACAGTAGATACTGAAAAATCAGATGAGAGAGTGGCAAAGCTAACTTTTTACTTGGTCTTTTCACTACACTGAACAAAATACTAGAGACCCAAGTTTGAGATGCCCCTACAAGATGGTAGCCACCCAAGATGGTTTTCCACAAAAGCCTGCGCCTTCAACTTTAATTTGGACTAGAAAAGCCTTTAATATACACATCAGCCTTGTTTTGGCTCCAGGCAAATTAGCTTATGGGTGCACACCAGTTAGTTATCCATGTGGATTGGATCTGTTTTGCACTCCCTCCACCTCCCCGATTCTGAAGCTCAGTTTCCATGGCCATCTAGTTGGGGCTTACACCAGCACAACTTTAAGCGGTTTTTAGGCGCAGGAGGGGCGGGGCAGCGTCTCGCACTTTGGGGATGCAGATTGTTCCCTTCGCTCCCCACTTTGCCCTTGGGTAGAAGCCAGGGCGCCCCCTCCCCACCCATCCGCCCCCCCCGGGGGCACTCACTTCTCCCTGAGCCGCAGGATGTCGTCGGCCAGGTTGTCCCTCTCCACCTCCACCCTGGCTTTGTCGTTGGTGAGCTGGTCCACCTGCCGGCGGAGCGCCCGCATCTCCTCCTCATAGAGGTCCCCCAGGCGGGAGGTGCCCTTGCCCTTGAGCTGCTCCAGCTCGGCCAGCAGGATCTTGTTCTGCTGCTCCAGGAAGCGCACCGTGTCGATGTAGTTGGCGAAGCGGTCGTTCAGCTCCTGCAGCTCCACCTTCTCGTTGGTGCGGTTGGCCTTGAACTCCGTGTTGATGGCATCGGCCAGCGAGAAGTCCACGGTGTCGTGCACGAGCCGCGCGGGGGGGCAGGCTGCTCCGCAGCCGCAGGGCCGAGGACTTGGTGGCATAGCCGCCGCCGGGCGAGGAGGAGACCAGGCGGCTGCTGCCGGGGCGGATGGCGCTGCCCAGCGAGTAGCGGCTGGAGGAGGTGATGTAGCGGCTCCCCGAGGTGCTGGGGCGGCTGCCGCCCCCGAACATCCTGCGGTACGAGCTCTTGCTGCTTGCGGTCGTGCTCATGGCGGCGGCGGCCGGCGCTTTGTAATTCCAGGGGTGCTGGGTCCCGGAGACTCCTGCTCGAGCGAGAGGGGCGAAGGAGACCGACGGCGGCTGCCCGCCGCGGTACTTATACTCCCGCCACGCCCTCAGCCAACCCGGCCCGACGGGCGGGCCCTGCCTTGCACACACAGCGAGAGGCGGGGCCCGGCTGGGCGAGGGTCTCTCCACTCCCACTCGCAGCCCGCGCGGCAGTGCGCACAAAGGCGGCGGGGGGAGGGTTCCCGGGGCCCGGGCCCGGGGAGGGACGGAGCGGTTTGCCGGGGCTCGGAATGAGGCGACAGGGCGTGGGGATCGGGGGAGCAGGGGGTCAGTAGGCGGTGGGGTGGGGGAATCAGGAGGGGGTCATTAGGAGGCGGGGGGAATTGGGGTCAATAGGAGGCGAGTGGGGGGAGCAGAAGGGGGACAGTAGGCGGCGGGGGGAATCGGGGTCAATAGGAGGCGGAAAGGGGTCAGGAGGCAGGGGGAATCAGGAGGGGGTCATTAGGGGGCAGGATGGGGGTGGGAAGGAGATGGGGATCCGGGGTCAGTAGGAGGCAGTGTGGGGAGAGTAGGAGAGGTTGGTGGGAGGCAGGGTGGGGAGAACAGGAGGGAATCATTAGGGGGCAGGATAGAGGATTTGGGGGCCAGTAGGGGGCAGGATGGGGGTGGGAAGGAGATGGAGATCCGGGGTCAGTAGGAGGCAGTGTGGGGAGAGTAGGAGAGGTTGGTGGGAGGCAGGGTGGGGAGAACAGGAGGGGATCATTAGGGGGCAGGATAGAGGATTTGGGGGTAGGTAGGGGGCAGGATGGGAGTGGGAAGGAGATGGGGATTCGGGGTCAGTAGGAGGCAGTGTGGGGAGAGTAGGAGAGGTTGGTAGGAGGCAGGGTGGGGAGAACAGGAGGGGTCAGGAGGAGGCATGGTGCAGGGAGCTGGAGAGGGTCAGGAGGCAGGGAGAATCATGGGATCAGGAGGAGGCAAAGTGGGGAAGCAGGAGGAGGGTAAGCAAGAGGCAGGGTGGGAGGATCAAGCAAAGGAGAGGAGGGGAAGAAGGAGGAATCAGACGTGGAAGGAGTGACTGAGGAGGGGGGCTAGAGAAGGGAGGGGAAGGGGCCAGAGCACTTTGCAAGCCTTTCCCTGCCCTATGGGTAGCAGCTGGGCACTCTGCATGGGCTCCCATGCCATGGGAAAGGGTGTCCATGTGCTTTATGGAGCTGGGGGTCAGGACCCTCCATGCTCCCCTGGTGCCCTGGCAGGGAGGCTGGGTTCAGGGTGATGGAGCAGGGTTTGGGATTAAGCAGGGAGGCGGACAATCTCCCTTTCTCTAGGCGTCACTGATGCCCGCTCTGCCATGCCAGAACCGTGTGCAGAGGGGGGTGAACTAAGCGCATGCTCAAGGCTGAGTGCTGATGTCCAAGACATGCACCATACCAGCGTTGCTCATGTTGGATACATTCCCAGGTAGCTGGTGGTGTACATAGGCCCTCTGCTCTCACCAAGCCTGTGCATAAGCTGGGCTGCTGCTTTTGGGGGGGGGAGGGGCAACTTGTGGGGAGGCAGTGGCTAGTCTGAAGCTCGTAGTTTGGCACGGGGTGCCCAGAGGCTCTGATGTCTGCCTGAAAGCAAGGAGGGGAATCCCTGAGCTGATTCCTTTGCGCTGTCTGAATCAAAGTAACGCAAACTTCCCCCCACAGCACCTTGTTCCCAAACACAGCTTCTGCTCGGCATATTTTAAACCCTTTGTAAAAAGTACTCTAGCAGAAAAACACACATTGCAACCCTGACACAGCACAGAACAGGCATGTTAGTAACAACATCCGGGGCTAAATAAAAACAATCACTGACTGTGTACAACAACTCAAGGCTAGACACTATAGACATCTATTTTAAAGGGACAGTGACAATTTGAATGGTTTGATATTGATAAGAAAAAAAGTCCAGTTTCTGATAAGCAACCATTAAATAGTATATGCTGATTATTTTATAAAATAAAAATTGCATAAGGGATTTTTCTTCTTCCCTATAGCTGTTCAGGGGAAATTGATATCAGAAAAATAGTGAAATTAACTATATGCAAAGGACTGTCAAATATATGAAATATACACTGAAAAATGGAGAAAACCTTTTTTGTTAACTTCTTTCAGTTATTATAATCTCAGGTATTACTTATTAGGCACAAAATTGTCAGGCCCAAATGAGATTTTCTGAATTCCCTTTGGCTGGGTGAGCTAATGGACTAGGTTTTTTGGGTCGGTGAAGGTGCAGATTTCTTTCATTGTTCTGTTTTGTTGTTAATGTTTTAACAAGAAACACTTTGATTAGTTAAAATTTGAAAGTAGATATAATCGAGTGTTACCAGAATAGTCGAATGGCACTGGATTAAGATCTTGGTCCTGCTTCTTGGCACAACCCTCTATGATTTGGATAAGAGACTAGGCTCCAGTTTAATAACAGAACCATTTAAGTTAATGGGAGCATTGCCATTGACTTCAATGGGCATAGGATCAGGCCTTAAGAGAGCAATTGACTAAATGACAACTATAGTGTGACATAATAACTGGCAGCAATTATTTGAAGGATATAAATATGAAGGATCAGATGCTGTACGTTATACTGAGGCAAAACTCCCATTTGTAGTCAATGGGAATTTTGCCTTGGAAGGATTGGGCTCTCAGCAGGGAAGAGAAATTATGTACCGGTAGGTAGTTCAGGAGTTAAAACTAGGAGTTATGGAATGAAACTAAGAAAAGGAAAAAATAGTGGAACATCAGGGAAAAACACTCTCTCTCTCTCTCTCTTCCTCCCTCCCGGGGAAAAGACCTGTCATCGACAGAGCAACTAAATGACTTTCTAGGTCTTTTCTATCTTTAATTGCTATGAAAAACTATTTGATCTAGTGTAACTTTTTTTTGTTTTTATTTTTTTAAATCTCTCACCATCTTGCTCACAACCCCATAAAAACTAATATTTATATTGGATATGCTGATAGACGTGAACATACAGATGGACAATGACGAAGTTACAAAGTAGAGGGTCTGATTCTCCTATCACAGGCCACAATCAAGTGCGTGGGAGTTACTCATATCCCATGGGGAAGAATCAGGCCCAGAATATTTTGTGAAGAGATGTTTTATAAAGGAATTTGTGCTGTGTTTTTATTCTGGATAGGATCTGGAAGCAAAAGAATGTAGTTTGGATCTAAATGAAGGGATTTATTTTGGACCTCTCTGCTGCCCTCCTTCAGGCCTTACTTTGTTGTTTTCATTGCAACTTAGTCAAGCAAGTGAAGCTGACATGGTTGAGCTACAGAAGTGTTTGCAACACAAGACCTGCACAATAGCTCACTTCATTCACTCATTCAATAGGTGGCAGGGGTCACACACGTACACAGCATTCCTGGGGCTAACTCTACTGGCATCCTGGACTGTCCTGAGATGTGACATCCCAGCTCTGTGAGAGCTCTTTATTTCAGCCATCAAGTTTCAGCTATAAATCTTTGTGAGTCTTCTTAAAGTCCTGGCACAAGAATACACCCTCCCTCCATGAGAAAGCAAAAGTAAGGCAGCCCATAACAAGCAGCCTCATAGATTAAAAATGTTTTACTTGGTAAGTACTGATAGTTTAGCAGTACTTTTTAAAAAAAGATGCACCACACCCAGTCAGCACTGTATTATTACTAATAGAACACTAATTGTTTATGCTTCACATGCTGACAATGAGTGTCATGTTTTCATAGAATCACAGAATATCAGGGTTGGAAGGGACCTCAGGAGGTCATCTAGTTCAACCCTCTGCTCAAAGCAGGACCTAATCCCCAACTAAATCATCCCAGCCAGGGCTTTGTCAAGCCTGACCTTCAAAACCTCTAAGGAAGGAGATTCCACCACCTCCCTAGGTTTTCAGCATTTACTTTCCCCCAAATTCAAGTGTGTTTGCTTTGGCAAATAAATTTGAAAACCCTAATATTTAAATATGATTTGCCATATGTTTGTTCCTTTCTGACCTGTGCACTTCTTGGCCAGCAGCCTTACTGTTGCTTTTTGCCATGAAATTTCCTAGAAGTGTTAAGAAGTTGGTAGCCAGAGTGTGATAATCAGAGTGGCATTAAACCTTTAACGTCATTTGTTGGGTGGCCCTTACACAGGTCATAAGTGGGGGAAGGTGCAATGAGTCTCTCCCCTATTGCAGGGTCCATACAGTCTGCCATGTGCACTCCATGCTGTCAAAGGAGTGCATGGACTGACCTCTCCATGCACCTCCTGAGATGCAAGAAAATCCAGTGGCAGTGGGGAAATATTGTATCCAGTTGAAACTTCACAGGGGATTTTAGGCAGGCCCAGAATTGGAATTTGTACATAACACCATGGCTAAAACCCTTACTTTTGGATAAGTGCTATGGAGTCCTTAATGGCCATAACTGGTCAGGACCTTCATTTCCTGACCCATCAGAAAGATGGCATTTCTAGGAGCACTGTGGCCACTAACTGTCATGAGTAAGGCCCTGTACTTGCACCTGTACAGTACTCCTGACACCTTAACGAGTCAGGTAGACTGCCTGATGGTCCACCCTGTCTGATTGGCTGAGAAAGCTAGGAGGCTGGTTCTTAAGCCCAGCAGCAGCAGTACTCAATACACATGCCTATGAACTCTTTGCCTCCCTATATTTGTCTCTCTCCAAGCCCTGCTCCTGGCTTGCTTCTCCATAGCTCCAGCTCAGATCCTGTCCTGCACCCAGCCTTGCTCCAGTCCTGTGTCTCAGCCTTGCTCCTGCCTCAGAACCAGCCCTGCTCCATCCTTCTCTGACTCCTGATAATCCAGTTCTGGCCTTCAGCTCTGATTTCTGACCATTGGCTCTGGTGTTCAGACCGTGACTGCAGTTCTGACCTTTGGCCCTGGTCCTGGCACTGTCTTGAACCTTGGCTCTGGCATTTGGACTATCTATGGATCCACAGTTTTGGAGTTCTGGAACAGTCCCTAAGAGGGAGGACCCCTTTAGTGTGTCAGAGTTACTTAGGATCACATTCTTTCACTAGGGTAAGCCACTCGGCTTCACCGTTCCTTAGACTGAAGCTTGGA